ACTCAGGGCTGATGAACATGCCAGTTATCAGGCTGTGTGTGTGTCAGCTTGGCTGGTGGAGGTGAATGGATGCCATGAGGCTGGCCTCTGAGAGGGGAGAAGTGCAGGGCCAGGCAAGGAGCTCCATGGGAGTCTTGGCCAGCCGCTGGACCAGGTGGAGTGCTGGAGGTGTCCCAATGTGTCCCCTTCTCCTGTTCTCGCAGACACCATGGTTTGCACAGGCTGCTGCTCCTGTTTGGACCACATTGTCACCTATCTCTTCAAGCAGCTATCCCGCAGCACCAAGAAGAGGACCACCCCCCTGACCCAGGAGAGCGACCGGTTCCTGCACATCATGCAGCAGCACCCGGAGATGATTCAGCAGGTAAAGAGCTGAGAAGGGGGATATCGGGGGTGACGCATAGGGGGTTCACATGCACCCCCTGAGCATGGTGGTGCACCCCCTACAAAAAGGTGCCGCCAACACTGCTGGCAGCATCTGTGGGTGGTTGCCGACCCCGGTCAGCTCTCACCACCCTCCCCCACCACCGACAGCGCCGGCAGCATCTGTGGGAGCTCCCCTGCTTACCACTGCCGTGCTCCTGTTGCCGCCGCTGTGGCCCCCCGCCCTGCTGCCAGGGGCACGCCTCGTTCATGGGAGATAGGGTCCTTACACCATGAGCACATGACACTGGAGCACTTGTTGTGCAGTCCCCAGTCCCCTCCTGTAGGCACTGTCGCCTTCTCCAGAGCTGAGCTCCAGGGGAGCTGAGGCACTTACCTGATGTCAGAGGGAACTGGAAACCCATGGCTTATGCTGCAACTCCAGTATGTTGTTTATCACGTCCCAGAGCTCTGAACTGGGAACTGCCCTGGGGCTGATGCTTGGGGCCAACGTTCTGTGCATGCAGGATGGGGCATTTCGCACCTACACTCTGAGCAGGAGGGGCCCAAAACTTGGAACCTTTCTTAATATTATTTTTTTCAACATACTACCCCATTTGCAGTCCCCTTTTCTTGGGACTTGCTGAAAGCTTGTCATGGTGAAGCCAGGAGATATGTCTGCCACCCACTAGCATGCAGTCATTTTAACATACGTACCAGTTGAGCTGAAAAGCAGTAGCATGTGTGTATGCTTTTGGTTGAACACAGCAGTGTTGTTCCAGAGCTCAGTGAAGCAGCCGTCAGATTCTCCCTGATCTCTCCAGTAAGCATGCACTCTGCCTACCTTGGCTCTTCTGGTGTACATGGCTGGCAGGTTTTCTTTCTCTTTTGCTGGTCCTGATCATACAGTGCAGGACCTGCAACGTGAGCTGGAAGACCAGATATGCTACAGCCTTATGGGTAATACGTGGAGGCAGCTATAACCCCTTGGAGGAGTGCATGCTGGCAGATTGACACACATTTCTGGGGCAGGAGGAAAGTTGGCTTTGAGGGAGCAGCCTGACCCTCTTGCTTTCTCGTTATCTTTCCAGATGCTGTCAACAGTGCTGAACATCATCATCTTCGAGGACTGCAGGAACCAGTGGTCCATGTCCCGACCTCTACTTGGCTTGATACTTCTCAATGAAAAGGTAAGCAGGCCTGACTGCTCTCAGCAGACCAAGATGACCTTTTAGTTGGGAGAGACCTCTGGAGTTGGGACAGAGTCTGGTGTCCTGCAAGTGACGGAATTGCACTGGCAGAGTTGGATTCAGGAGAGCCAGGACAGCAGTGCAGCTCAGGTTGGCAGTGTCCCGGTGTCCTGCCCTGCTGAGGGGAAAAGCTCACATAGCATTTGCTTGGCTCACCCTTAGCTCCAGCAAATCCTCCAGTTACCCATTTACCCGAGTTCTAGAATATGCAAAAACCGAAGCTGCGCACTTCTTGCTACCCCTGAAAAGACAGCTGGCTCAGCACTCAGATGGCTCACTACCACTTTCCTGTTTCCCCCAGTATTTCTCAGACTTGAGGAACAGCATAGTGAACAGCCAGCCCCCGGAGAAGCAGCAGGCCATGCACCTCTGCTTTGAGAACCTCATGGAAGGCATTGAACGCAACCTGCTAACCAAGAACAGAGACAGGTTGGTATAGAGAGCTCGGCCTGGGAGGTGACATCACAGTACTGAGCCTGTAGCTCTGCTTAATGGATGAATGCAGTCTGCAGAGACTTGCAGTCCCTGCTTATGGCAGCATCACGGGCTAGGATTCAAGTATGTGGCCTAGGATAAGGCGTCTGACACTCCTGTATCAGTGCCGGCAAGCCCTGTTCTAACACGTGCTGGTCTCTGTTCCCATAGGTTCACCCAGAACCTGTCGGCATTCAGACGGGAGGTAAACGACTCTATGAAGAATTCCACCTACGGCGTGAACAGCAACGACATGATGAGCTGACGTCTCGCACCATCACCTGTACAGAGCAGCATCTCTTTGGCCTGGACCAGAGGGGTTACCGTTTCCGATGGAAAGAAAAGAGGGCGTTTCTGATCCCTGCTCTTCCCTCGGGTTGGACTGCGGCGCTCAAGCTCAGCCGTACTCCACGTCCAAGGGAGGAGGGAACAGGAGGGGGGTGTTCAACTCGCCAGGGCAGGGTGCTTCCGTTTCCTTGGGAGGGGTGGAGGGGGCATGACCCGGGTGCGAGAATCCAGCGTCTCCCTACCAGAACGTCTGCGTGGAACCCTAGCGCTCTGCTGCAGCCTGCCTTGTATAAACATGTACATTTTTTCATAACATTTTGAACAAGGTTTATATTGACTCAAGTTTAAAAAAAAAAAAAAAAAAAAATAAGCGTGACTGAAATTTTTACGGAGTCTAGTGCACCAATGCTGCCGTGAGGGTTGCGTATGCGAGTGAGGAAGATGTGTCTCCTGCTGGCTTGAAGCTTTACTTGGGTGAGGGGGTGTGAAAGTGCAGAGATATATTTAGTGACACGTGTAGAGAGAAACAAAAACCACAAATGGGGGGGGAAAAAAAGAGAAAATGTAAAATTCCAAATGTATATTTTTTTTCTTATAAGCCCCTTAAAAATCACGACTTCCTGTTACTGTCTCACCCTTGTTATTAGGAACTCAAAGCCATGCTGCGTGATCCATTCATCTGTGCTAGCTCGTGGGTGTCTCCTCCCCCAGTGTAATGGTAGATGCTGTTCCCATTGTCAGTCAGCTTCTGGTAGGGCCTTCGCCACCCAGCGTTGGTGCATTTGGCGAGTTGTTTCTTTCAGTAAGGGATCCTTCTCCCCACCCCCATCTAGCCCCACCCTGGGAGGAGCACTGCAGTGAGGCTGTCTCGCGTACCTGCCAACTCTTCTTTCCTTGGTTTTCTTTCTTTCCTCCCCCACCTCACAACCTCTGTCAAGCAGGAAGCATGTGTGGAACAGAGTGAAAGCCTTGGGCTGAGCTTTTCATACTCCTTGCCAGTGCAAGACCTGCACAGCCTTCCCGTGAGGCACCACGTGTCCATTTTCAGACACGCATGCACTCGGGAATGAGACGCAGCCAGGCTCTTGGAGGGGGGTTTGTATTGAATTTACCACTGTGGAGGGTTCTTAATAACAAGGTCTGCCTAGCATGAGTTATTTAACATCCCCCTTTAAAAACCAGTCTGTTTCTCTAAATCACCCTAATACATGTTTTGGATAGAAAACTTAATTACAAAGGAAAGTGTAATTGGGGAGGGGGAAACCTGTTTGCCTTGTACTTTCTCCATTACTGTTGCTGCTAGTTGTGTGCATCTCTAGCTCAGCTCTAACCCACAGCCACTCAGTCCTTTAGGTTTGGTTTCAGTTTCTCTGCCCGTACACCACCTACTCTGAATTTTTCTTTTTCTTTTTTTTTTTTTAATCTCCTTTCCTCTGGCGATTGTGTGTTGGGTCCTTTTTCGCGTGAGCAGATCGCTGGTTGACTTGTAAGGGTGTTTGCTGCATACAGTGTAAGCATTGTGACTGCAAATAAACTTCAATGGTTTCTACTGAATTGTGTCTGCTGTTTGCAGAGGCCACTTGCCTCACTGATAGACTCAAAAACCCACTCCTAATGTTTCTCGTCACAGGGTTCTGCCACCTGGACTAGGGCCTGAGGCGCTGCAGCAGCCTGCCATGATGTACGGGTAAAAGCAGTGTTATTGGCAGACAAGGTTCTTGGGGTACATGTGGTATCTTTTTATTAGACCAACTAAATATTTGGAAAAATTGTTCTTTGCAAACTTTCAGGCACAGGGAGAGTCTGCATGGGTGTTACTGGCAGGACAGGTTTGTATTCAAGACTTCATTGGACAGTGCCATCAGGCCTAGGTGCTTGGCCTGTGATTGCAGATTATTCAGCTGTGCCTCACAGCTTCCCTGTCTTGGAGGTATCAGTTAATTATCTGAAACATTTTAATAAGCTCTGTTCCTTAACACTAAAGAGCATGAACCCATAACTGTTGAACTGCCTTGAAACTATGGTTTGAACTTAAACCAGAACCCAGAAAGAATCTCTGCAGCTGCTTTGACAGCAGAGTAATTTGGCTTCATTTTCATTTTGAATGAGCAACCCTGCAGCTTGCCTCCAGCTCAAGGGCATTCTTCCCAGTTCACATACCAGAGCAGAGGCCACCTTTTTCTACTGTTGGCAAGGGCTTGAAGTAACTGCACTCACGCAGAACAGAGCTCTCCTGCTACTGCTAGCTCTTCTGCATCAGCAGTCCCTCCAAATCTGAAGGGCTTTGCCAGCGGATTTAATATTCAGGGTCTTCTGGTTAGGGATGCCTCTGACCATGAACTAGATGCTGACAAAACCTGTACAGATTCACTTTTTATTGAGCCTCAGGGAGGCAGGACAAAAGGCCTGAACTGATATGCAAACACAGGGCCCTAAGTTCTTTAGCCCACTCCTTTCCGTTGAAAAACACAAGCCAGCAGCAGCTACTGTGTCCAGGGAGTATCTTATCCCCTTATTGCTTTCATCTATAATGAAGAAAAGGTGGGCGGGGGGGAAAGGGAGGAAAAAATACTGCCCTAACAGAACTTGTCTAGTAAAGAAAGAACGCCCAGAATTGCAACTGGAGATGATATGGACACTTGTGGTTTATTGTTTCAAACTGATTAACTTGCAGTATATCCCAGTGACATGGGAGGCTTGTCAAGTCTAGGAAGAACCACACCAGAGAAGAGCAGTGCTCCAGGGAGATGCAATACCTTGTGAGAAGTTCTTCAGCTGTTTTCAGATTTAAGGCTGCTGACTCCCAGGTTACAGGTGCAGGGTGCCAGGGGATGCTATTCTGTGCTTCCACCATCCCACTGTATGTAGCAAGATTTAAGTCACAACCATTTATTGACAGGGCACTTTAGTTCACTTGAGCACCATAAAAGCACAGAGCAAAAGCTGATCTCTAAGTCAAGTTCCCCTTCAGTTGCTGCGTGTTCGTGTAGCTTCAGAGCAACTGTTAACACTCCTGCAGCAGGGAGTGGCCCCGTCCAGTGTACAGAAGGGGTTTGTTCTACCCATGGTCACAAGCTGCCTTCACTGCAGCAGCCATCTTCCTCTGGGTGGCTGAGTTGTAGATGACGCTGTTGTAACCCTCTCTGTTTCGAGCAATTTCAATGGCAAAAAATTGGATCCTGGTGGCTAAAAGGGGGAGAAAATAAACATATCGTTATAGCAGCTCTGTGGCGTAATGTATCTTCCCCTCCCAACAGCTCTTCCAAGCTTCTGCTACTGCCCCCTTCATGCACAGACATGCAGCCTTTTTAATCCAGAAGGGAGCGGCTCTAGGTATGGCAGGACGCACAGCTGCTTCTGCAACAGTTACCCCTTAAAATAGCACTTTTTGTGGGTTAACCAGCAGAGCAGACAGTCTATAACTTGGTGCTGAGTCTAGGTTTGGTTCAGTAACTGAGGAGCAACTTGGGTTTTTGTGTGTTGACATGACAATTTTTTTCTTAAAGACAAGTCAAATCAGCTAAATCAATTCCAGATCTCAGAGTCATTCAAGAACCATGTGGCCCTACTACAGGCAAGCATCCTCCACCCATGCCTGAGGCTTCAGATGTTTCGAAAACCTTCGGTGGGCATCCTACATGCAGGCCCAAGTCTGAAGGCTTAGAGTTCGGACACCCCCGAGGGTTGCCTGCCCTCAGCCATATGGCCACAGAAGCAAGCTAGGGACAACCTGGCACTCTATTTAGAAGTGCCACGTAGAAATTTGCACCCAGTTTCTGCATGGGCAGGCCTTCCTCTCAGGTTGTACGCAGCGGTTTGCTCACCAAATATCGTATTCTCGTCCGTGTAGTCTTTGCTGCAGTCCAGCCGCAGCAGGGTGCCGTAGTTGAAGTCTTCGACGACCCCCTCAAACTGCATGCAAAACGGACGCCACTTCTAGAGACAGAAGAGCCGGGGCTGTAAACTTCTTCCCGGCAGCCGGATAAGCGGAGCCCGTTCTCAGCCCTCAGATCCCATGTCCCCGAACCCGCCTGCTGCTCACGATGCCTTGTCCACGTTCGGGAGAACAACAAGTGCGCCGGAGAAGCCAGAAAGCACCCGCAGTCGGGAATCCCTTCACAGCAGACGTGTCTCCAGCGTGGCTTTGCGTCATCCCATGCCACGACCGCTGTGGCGCTTCCCCTCCCCGAGCCTTCTCCCTCCTTCCAGCCCAAGACTTTCCCCTGGGGCAACGCTGCGTCCCTGTTGCAGTTTGCCCAGAGCACCAACCTCCTTGGCTGGCTCCGATTTGAGCTCCTCCGGCTCCAACACATCGATCCTGAGGCGCCCGAAGCGCTCCCGGAAGGCGGCGTAGATCTCCTCATCCACCTTGGTCAGCTTCAGAAACGTCGGGTCCACCGAGGAAATGAGCTGTTGGGGGGTGGGGAAAGGGGAGAAAACCCGGGGCCGGGCTCCTGGGTCCCGAGAGCTGCGAGCAGCAGCGTGCTCGACCCCACCCCTCCCCGGCGGGAAGCAGGCAGCCCGGCCCCGGCCCCGCACTCACGTTGAAGTAGACCTCGGCGTGCTGCGCCGCCTTCATGGCCCACATCATCTCCACGCCGGGCTGCGGGGACGGGACGGGACGGGACAGGGGGTGAGGGGGTGCGGCCTCCTCGGCCCCGGCCCCGGCCCCCCCCCGCCTGGCTACTC